CACATGTATCATACTCTGCAACAACGCCGAAAGAACTCCCTTACTGAAGTCGATAGATGCACTGGTACAATTCTTTTAACCTGAAAAGGTGAGTAATAGAGTGAGCTTCGAAAAGCTCAGTAATACAGAACTACCAGATGATGCTGAAGAACGTGCAGATACAAATAAACATATTTTTTTCTTATCGATTCAGACATTTACAGATCTTTATACTGAGCAGAGATTCTACGGATATTTCAGGTAGTAACAAATAATGAGCTTTCAGTTCAGAGAAATATTTCGGATGACTGAGTTCAGGAGATCAGAATAGGTTTTCTAGTGTATTCCCAAAAACCATGTAACTTTTCAGATCTTTTCAAAACATATATATATATATATATATATACCCCCATCCCAGCACAACATAATGTAAGTTCCCCAGAACCATACACCCAACCCAACACAACATATAAGGCCCTGAGCACAAAGCCGAGGAACCTGCGGAACTTCTTCCTTCAACAATACCCCCCATTTAAAACATTTCTCCGTCGGTAAACGGAGATATCAAAAATCAAAACATAATTCAGATCAGATATCATAACAGAATCCAGGTTAGGAATCAGAACAGATTTCAGATCAGATGTCAAAACAGAATTCAAATCAGAAATCAGATAAAATATTCATATAAGTAGGGAACACACTAGAGTTTCCAGATATATTTAGAGATACAGGATAATCTTATCGGGAAGAGAAACGCAAATCTTCAGTTTACCAATAGAATGCCGGAAATCAGAATCACTATTAGAAGAGTTTGTTAACTGACAAATCATCGGTTATTCAGGATATGATTCATCGGAATCATCTTATTCGTACACTTTTCTGAAGCTCTACGAAATTTGAAGGTATTCAGAATCTTTACAATCTATGACGATTAATCCGATTATCGAACAACTCCAGATGAATAGCTTTTAGAACCAATACTTACCAACTTGTCAATTCATTAACTTTTCAGGGTATTTACTCTTTAATACCAAATATTCTTATCCACAAATCATCATCTGAGTCATCACTGAATAGATCTTAAGGAGACAAGCAAATATTCTAATGGTCTTTATTTTATTTCCATGTTTTAACTATACCATGAAATGCTGACGTACTTGATTTGTGGTTCATAATCCATAGGGATGATACATCATATAAGTTCATCCGAGTTTTCAAACTTATTCCAATCTCTTACTTAATCCTCAGTCATTGAGGTTACTTAGTTCATTTAACATTCAAGTCCAATCCAGTTACTTCGGGATTTTCCAGAATAATTTAAACGTTCCTGAATTTCAGATACATGTTGTACTTCCATTCCATTCAATTTGGTCTTCGTGGTTGATTTGTCGAACAAACGTCCAATTCCTAGTACTGAATACGATCTAGATCTGAGCTGAACTGAATACTTCCAAAATTTGTCATCGAGCCAAACTTGAGAAGACGAACACATGTTCCAGTAATATCTATGCCATTCAGGTATTGACATAGCTTTAGGGTTGATCTGCTCACTTAAATTATTTTCCATTACCTTTAAAGGTAGTCCAATACCCATGCTTACTTGGATTCCTTAATTAATCCAAGACATTTACTTAATTTAGGCCATAAGGGTATTTTGGTAATTTTGATGTTCAGTTTTATTCCATTCATTTCAGAGCTCGAGGATATTCAATCATTCCTGAGCTTGGTGATATTCTTGAGTCATTTCCATTACAGAGGTATTTTGGTCATTTTACAGATCCACGGTATTTCAATCTTTTTCCTTCATCCGGTCTTATTATTTAATTCCAATTTATCATCTATTTCAGTCCGTTCGAACAATTATGATAAAAGAGCACCCTCCGATAAATTGTTCTTCAGGTATTTACTCATAACTCATATATTTTCGGGTCAAGTGCCTTCTCGGATTTTACAAACGCAATATTATGAATTTTTCTTTACAAAGACAGAATATTAATAATTAAATTTGTACTCAATCGAGTTAAGTACAAATCCTCAAAGTACTTTCTCCTTCAGGGTCAAATCTGACTATTTTACCTCTCAATGGCATTTTCGTAATTTCTTAACCAGATAATTTCGATATTATCTCTTAACGAAAATAATATAATATAGAGATCCTATGATTAATTGCTTCCTCGAACATTCTTTGATCTTGAAATGATTCCTTAAAAGGTTTCTAGTATCTAGCATAAACCTTCTTGGGGTTAAAAACCGGTTATCCATAATTCCAAGTAAAACTAACATTTCTTATGCACATCAATAGTTTTAGTAGATCAATAATTCTTTTCAGATTTATTAATCCACTTCCAGAGACAATTCTTGTCATTTTTCAACTTAAGGGTATTTTCGTAATTTTACCCTACCGGAGTATTATCATAATTTCCCATCCAAGTACCTTTAACATTTAACCTTTGATGAAATAAACTATAAGTTACAAACCCATGTTGATTTCTTTATCACTAAGCACAGAACTTGTAATTTAATTCTAACAATCCCTCAATTTCTTGTAAAAATCATCTGAACCATAATCAATTACTGAACCCTTTTACCGTATTCAGATCGAGTGTAGAACTAATTAACTACACAAATGAGACCAACATTATCTTAATCATGCATTTACCAATATTCATATGTTCCATAAAGCATAAAGAGGTAGTAAAGTATTACCTCGATTTCCGTGCAATACTGATTGACCATTTAAATTCCATTCGAACGCCCTCGATCTTTAATTCAACTTCCAATATTTTCCTCTCGATCCAAACCATCAAAATAGTTTAACTCGTATTCAAATATTTTCCTTGCCATAAAGTTAGCTTATTAGAATTGAAATAATAATTTGGAACCCCAAATGATTAAACAAAAACTTTCAAAGTCGTTAAAATATTTAATAACTAAAATCAGGTACTAGATTGAATTAATTTAAACTATCATAGCTTGGTTGAAATTCTATTAAAACTGATGGACAAGTTAGAACCTTACCAAACATAGAGGACTGAAACTATGATTTGTCCATCTTGCTATCTTAACACCCCACACACGTGATTTTCAAAAGAAATTATGAAACTTCTTCATCTCACGTTACCATCGCCATTTCTATATTTTTTTTTCAGTGCTCTTTTCATATCTCAAGCAAGGAGGTTCCAACGGCAGATCATCGGCCGCCATTAACCATCGGTGGATACCACATCGGCCGTCGTCAGTGACCGCCAGTCGAAAACCAAATTATTCCGTTCGAATCATCTCATTCTCCTTATCACAAATATAGTCTCTGATCATCGAGAATATTTATAAATAGATGCAGATCTACAAAATGTGTTTCAGATCCGAGGCTCTCTATGTTCCCATCCAGTTCGCTTATCTCCATTCGAATTTTGAAGTAGAAACCATGGCTGCCTTGTATGCCTTCGAATTTGCTTTGGACCCTTTGACCAGTTCTGAATTGAGGAAGCTCCAAGGGGCGGCAGACTTAGCTACGACAGATCGACGTTGGCTAGAGACCCTCCATAACTTCCCTTTCTGATGCCTCGTTCGTGATATAGGATCAACCTATTTCTTCTTTCCCTATTTGCGTTGTGCTATCTTCATTTCCAGCTGTAGTCATAACATTCATAAATGGGTCTTTGTCATCAGTGTAACGCTGGAATAGAAATTTCTGGTACTGCTGGTGTTGTTTTTGATCTGTTGAGTTCTGAAGATGATGATGCAAAAGGTAGCAGTAGCGACCCCGAACGAACATATTGCTCTAATTATCAAACTTCATTTCCAAAGGCCACCTGATTGTTTTTCCTTTGAATCTTCTTTCTATTTCCTTCTTTTTCTATTAACATTATTTAATTGCTTTGTTGGTCTATTCATCAAATTATAGAGTAATCGAAATGGATTATTGGTTCTCTGTTTCAAATATGACTTTTCACCACAATATCTTATCAATGAATGGTTCCAAATATTTTGAATAAACTATTATTTAATGAGATAAGGTAGAAGATTGCAACCAAATCACTATCACATTTGCAGGACCCACTAGGCTACTATGATACAACCAGATATGATTTATTATTGGGTAGGTGAAATTATACTTCATTGTTTGGGGTGTTACATGAGCACTAGGAATACCAATGGTAAGAGCGTTCAATGTCAAATGGTTGAGAGTTATCTTTTAAACAGATATTGCCTTGTACCTTGAGATCATAAGTTCGAGTATCAGAAATATCAAAGTGTGAACGTTTAATATTAAATGATTGAGAGTCAGGGTTATAGATTAAGCTCCCAATAGTTAAGACACCATGGCTAAGAACAGGAAAGTGCAGCATCTTTTTTAATGCAAAAAGATGCTGGTTTGAACAAATGTCTGATATGTAAGAATTGGGAATCAATTTGGAGAAGCCCGAGGCCTAATCTATGATCATGGAATAGTGTACTAGATTATATTTTAATCTGGTCGACATTATTTAATTTTGAATAATCAAAAATATTTTAAAAAAAGATGAACTTGATTCATGTGATGAATAAAAAGGGGGCCTTCCTCGTTTTAGCAAACTAATCATGAAAGTGCCCTTTTCTGCACTAACCAGTGGTGGTCAAGGAACAAGACGACATCTACTTTTTTTTTAATTTTTCAACTCTCAACAATATCATTAGGACATTCTCTCTTCCTTCTCTCGACGAATCCAATTCATCCACCGGACCATATGAGAAAATGAATGGACCATTAAGCATTCCATCCAACACCTAAAACAATCCGACAAACCATGTGGCTCAGGTTGATGATCATTGTATCTGTAAAGGGGAAAAAGGTGATTAGATTTATTGATATTATTATTGCTGTTAGGTATTATGAAATCACCCAGAGTTCGCTAGATTTTTTTGCTGAGAGCAAATTTTATGAACATGGTAGACAATTTGATTAACTAAAGATAATGTGGTTGACAATGCTGGATTTTTATTTAATGTCATTATATATATTCATTTACATAAGTGATGTAATAATAACCTTTCTGACTATGGTAACTAAGGTATGATTATAGATATTGTGCTATTCTGTTATGCACTAGCGTTCACCACGTGGCAGCACAGTGGGTCGGATGATGATGATGATGCTCCGGTGGAACTCCAGATGTTGTCTATTTCGCTGTTGAAATGATGTTGAGTTCCATGGTAAGGCCCGCTGGTGGATGTTGATGATAATCCAACGGTTGGCAATTGAAGATCATTATCAGTGGTACTGGTGTTGCAGTAGGTTGCCATTGGTTGGTCATTTAAGCAGGCTAATTGTGTTGATGTCTCTGTTTGCCCACCGTTGAGATGAGAAGCTACAATCCGGTCGAATGCAGCCCAGTTGGTGAGCGCCGCCGAATCATTGTGATGATATACCGAGTTGAGATCGCCGCCACTCACCTGGTTGAGGATTGATCCTTCGTTTTCCGTTATCATGGGTTGGTAACAGTTTTGGCTGCTGGTTGAGTTCGGGCTGTCTAGGCTCGGGAGCTTCGTGAACGAGTCAGGGTAGTAGGCGCCATTGTTGTCGATGGCGATCTCCATGGGCTGCCAGAGGAATCTCGAGGCGGTACCATTGTTTGCTTCTCCGTCGTCCTTGCAAGTCCTTCCCATGTATTCAAGTATATGCTCCAATGCTCCTTCATTGCTGGTACTTGTGATGAACATATGGGTCCTGGTTTTTTCACCCAAGGAGGAGCTTATAGGGTTTTCTAGGGTTTTGTGGTGATTTTTCTTCTTGAAGATACGACAAACCACCCATCCCTCTTCTTGGTTCCCCTCCCCCATGGCATTGGAGATCTTAAACCAAAAAAGAAAATTGTCCAAAAATAGCATAAAAATATGTCTATATGCATACATGTATGTATATATAATATGACGTAACATAATTTACCACGAGAGGAAGATTTGAGGTTCAAAGGCTTACGTACGTTGGTTTCAACCATGTTATCGTCTAGTCTGTATTCGTGCATGATCCAATAAGATTTTTGACCATGAGGTGCCCGACCTTTGTAAAACACCAAAGTCTTCCTCATCCCGATCGGCCGGTAGTTGCTATATATGACCTTGTCGCGACCGGTCGCTTTCCAGAATCCGGCAGCCGTGGCACGGTTCGTGCGAGTCCGGGTGGGGTACTTCTTGTCTTTGTGGCTAAAAAAGTACCAATCGTTCTGAGGAGTGGTTCCAATCTTGCACCTCTCTGTTATAGAAATTAAACTCACAAACAAGCATGTAGCAACATGGATGGAACATAAATTACAATAATATATATATATATATACCTTGAATATCCCAAGGCTCGAGCTTGTTAAGATCAACATCACGAATGACATCCAAATCGATCTTCTCGAATGAAACTTTCTTCCGGAGATAGTACTGCAAGAGCTCCTCTTCCGTCGGATGAAATCGGAACCCGGGTGGGACTTTAGACTGTCCATTAACAGATATGCTCATGTTTTCCGGCATTTAAGAAAAGATAACCGAAAGGAAACAATGGGATAAAGAAGTGATTGATATGATAAAATCTGGTTTAGCAAGTGGAGTTTGCAGACAAGTCTACATATAAGTACATATATATACACAAGCGCGTGTGTATATATATATGTAGTATAAACGGGACAAGAGAAAGAAAACAAGAGGTTTTCTGTTTATGATGGGCACCGGTGCTTGGTAGGGGGGGGGGGAGCTTAGGTTTACTATGCCTTGGAGAAGGACCAGGCTACCTAGATGGTTGGAGAAACGACACAGTATTGGGTAAAAAAATTGGGGACAGGTTGCAAGGAAGTCTTTTTCACGTGGAATTATCATCACTCCCGGTGTGAGATTCTCATGGGAATGAAATTCACATTCTCATGTTTGGTTGGCCGGGAATCTCATTCCGGTTAATGTTTTATTACTAATAGTAGATTTTTTGAGGTATATTACCAGGAATGTCATTACCTCCATTTCTTTAGGTATTGTTGGATTACCGGATTTTTGGACTAAAATGCCCTTAATTTTTTCTCTCAAAAATATCATTCTTCTTTCATTAAATAATAAAAATTCTACGAAGGTTAAATTACAAATTTATCCTTAAACTATTTTAGATTTACAAAAAAAAGTTTATAATTACAATTTTATATGAAGTTCAAGGGTTAAAATAAAATTTTACCCTTTCATTAAACCTTTTTATATTTTTAATTTTGTAAAAAATATATATAAATTTTATGAACTTAAATTTTTTAAAGAAAATATATAAATATTTTCCAATTTGTTAAAAAATAAATATATAATAAGGACAATTTGGTCAAATATACATTCCAATAATCTTTTATTCCTTTAACAAAACACGGTAATATTACATTCCTGCTAAACCAACCAAACACAAAATATAACATTCCTAGTAATTCTATTCCCTGGTAATCTTACATTCCCTCTGATAATCTTATATTTCGTGAACCAAACGCACCCTTAATCTTCATCTTTATCTTCATATGTATATATCAAATTAATATTAGGGTAACATATATATTAGAAAAATTAATAGGTCTTTGTTTTAAAATCAATTTGTCAATGTATTGTATACATTTTTTTATTAGTATTAACGGTGTTTATATATATATTTGGGTAATCGTCTTCGAGGGTTAATATCTATAAAAGATCCCTGTACTGTATATATTTTATAAATTTAATGCCCTCTATTATAATTTGATGAATTTTCGAAATGTAATTTTCATTTTAGGTTAACTCTTTGGTTTGTTTTGTCGATTAATTTTGCGTATTATGTTATTATAATTGGAAAAATGGCATGTTAAATTATTCTAAAAATTAATAAGAATTTTGATCTTAGAATTAAAAGCACACATTTTAATTAGTAAAATAAAGAAAATCATTAAATTATATATAAAATATGAAATTATATATTTATTCTTATGGACCTCCGGCCATTTTATTCTTAGTTTTTGGTCTTATTTAATGTTCTTTTTTTATTTTAATGTCTTTTTATCTTTATTTGAATATCTTTCATTTTATTTTAAATTTTATATATTTTTTAATAAATACGAGACTTGAGGAAAGAGAGAGACTTTTATTATTAATAATTGGCTTAAGGGTATCAAAGGCTCCTGAACTTTAAAAAAATAAATGTGGTCTCTATCCTCTTTTTTTGGATCAATGTGATCCTCCAACTTGAAAAAAGAATACAATGTGACCGACTAATGTTTTCCGTCATTAACCAATAATTCCGTTAATTTATGATGTTATAAATCGGTCAAATTACACCATTAATCACAACTATTTTCTTATTTTCTATTTTGCTCACTAAACTATAAAAGTTTTCAATTTCGGAAACTTTAGAGACTTTAGGGACTAAGGTTGTAGTTAACTCATTCTATTTTAAGGGTATACTACACAAATGGTCACTTTTTGGCATTGATCCTTCTAATTTCCATAATTTACGAAATGATCCTATAAATTTATCCAAGCTTCAATTTAGTCTAAAACATAATTCCAAGCACACAAGACCACTCTTACAATCAATTTAAACCCTTGGGAATTTTTTTGAAAAGTTTTCTCCAATATTCCTCTTAAGGCCGAATACTTTAACGTCTTGTATAATGATCCCTAGATTTATTTCAAGTGATATATATATATATATATATATATTGTCCCAGGCAGCAACATGTTGCATGGTACAATAAGGTATCACATTCTCAGTTTGTCTGAGATCCACTTCTTATTGTTTCACGTAGTTTGGTAAGATTTTGATATGCTAAGAATCTTAGCAACATTTTTAATTTTATTGTTTATACACGCACTAACATATCGCATTCAATCAATTCACCCATTTTTCTTTCTAATTCTACTTTTTAAAAATATATTTTTTCTCAAAGATATAGAGATATGGTAGATGGGTATAATTTTATAGATTTCGCATCGCATTCGCTCTAACTAGGGCAGGATGGGTATAAGTTTAACGGGTAGTAGGCGGGTGTGGATGTAAAAAGTCATTCCCGTCGTGGGTAGAGGGTAGGTGATCGATTTGAGACCTTATCCGCCTCGCATCCACATCCGCTCGTCCACTAACTACCTACCTACCATATAAATTTTGGACTATTACAAATTTAGGTATAATTTTAGAGACAATTATGTAAATCTTAAAATTTATAAGACATGGCTTGTAATTTAACCAAGTATTAGGGTATAACACTTTTAAAATTGAATATCGTTGCTTATATAATTTGTGAGGTTGTTGGCAGACATGTATGAACGGGTACATGAAGGTACGAGATGGGTGGTGAGTAACCAGTTGGATAGTGGGTATGAGGTAGATTTAAGAATATACTAGCATGGGCAGGTGTGAATTTAAAAATTTTATCCATCGCGGATGGTGGGTATGTGATAGATACAAAAATACTAGGTAGAAATGGAGACGAAAAAAGAGATATCCACACCCCCGTCCGTTTGCTATCCTTAGATCTAGTTATGTTATAAATGAACAAAATGAATTTAAATGTATGTCCGAGATTGAGAAAGAAAAAATGATACTACTTTTACATGAACTTTTAATTTCATTTATTCATTGAATTTATTTGATGGTCTTATTTTTATGTAAAATTAATGAATTTTATATAAAATAAAAAGATTTTTTATAACTTAAAAAAGATATGGCTGAACTCATCAAGTAATTTCAATTATAAATGAGATAATATTTTTTCTTAAAATTTTATATTCGAACAACTATATTTATAGGATATATATGCATTGTCAATAAGTTAAAAGTTTCAAAAAATATTTTATTGTATTCATCCTAGACTATTAAAAGATACTTTATTATAAAATAAGTGTCCAAACTATAACACTTTTTCACAAATACGTGTCAAAACTCGTTTATAATGATCATTTTGATTTTTTTTAAAAAAAATTAAAAAAATATTATTATATTTATAAAATAACATAGTTTCTCTTGAATTACAAAAAATCTCAAATCCCTAAAATTCATAAATTCCTAACATGTCGTTGTTGCATTTGTTGGTCATGACCATCGTCGTTGACGTAGTCCCTGTCATCTTTATTGTCATACACCTCAATAGATGCCAACTATTAGTAGTCGAGATCGCGTGGGGTCGCACTTTTCAGCCTAGGGCTCACAGGGTACAAAATATTCGATTAGTTGTTGATTTGTCGTAGTTCCTATTTATGAAAAGCTCTATAGTTTGAGTACTCATTTTATAATTAAGCCATTAAAAAAGACAACTCAAACCAGTTGATGCAGTAGGCCTCGTTTCAGAAACAGGCCAGCTGATGCAGTGGGCTCAGAAATCTCATGAGCCCCAAATTGCGCCTTTTTAAACCCCATTGCTGAAACCCTAGGCCTTGAAACACTGCATTTACAGCCGCGCTGCTCTCTCGGATTTCTGTATCTCAGGTAATTCATCTGCATCTATCTCTGTTCTTGTTTGTTTCTTCGGGTCGATTGCTTCCTTCAGCAAATTTCCAAGAATTTCCTTTTCGATCGTACTCTGAATATCATTGTAAATCTTTATACAGATTGTGTTTTTAATTGTTTGATCTATTTTATTTTAGTGTTGATCTGCTCTTATTCTCCATGATGATGGCATCCCCATCACCGTATCCTTTATGCGTTTTAGGGTTTTATAGTTTTCTGCTTCAGTTTTTGTTATCTTTTCTGTGATACACGACTATGGAATTAATAGAACAAAAAATGAAATTTAATTATTGTTGTTGAAGGAAATTAGAAATTCCCCATATGTTTTCTTAACTTAAAGTTCATAGGCTGAGAAAAATTTCAACACTAGTGAAAGCTGCAAATGTCCCTGTCGAATCTTACTGGCCAAGCTTTTCTAGAAGTGCAACATTGAGGATCTCATAACCAATGTTGGAGCTGGTGGTGGTGGCGCTCGGGTTGCCGCAGGTGCGCCTATTGCTGACGGAGATGGAGCTGGTGCTGCTGCTCCACCTCCTGCCGAGGAAAAGAAGGAAGAGCCAGAGGAAGAGAGCGATGACGATTTGGGATTCGGTTTGTTTGGTTAGTGTAATACCCCAAATTTTTACCAGTGATTAAAATGTAAGTTTTGAAAGTTTATTAAATTCACATTTATACTCGTACATAGATTTACCACCTTGAATCAGATTAAAGAAATCATGCTTCATCTGAATAATAAACTGTTTTTCAATATATTTATTCTAAAATGCTTCTAAGAAAAACTGTCATGTGATCTGATCTGGAGGAACACATGTCGTCACGTTCGTTCACCATATACGAATCTTGCCACGTAATAGTGAAATTATTCCATCCAATCTTTCATCCTCGGAACAGTGAAGACTGTCCATCATTATTTTCACATCATTCAGTCACATATCTGCCACTATTGGACATTCATTTGCTTCGTCTTTAAATTGTATTAGTATAGAATATATTGGAGAGCAGTTTATTATTCAGATGAAGCAGGATTTCTTTAATCTGATTCAGGGTAGTAAATTTGTGTACGAGTATGGATGCGGGTTTAATAAACTTTTAAAACTTACATTTTAGTTACTGGTCAAAATTTGGGTTTTACAATTAGGATCTCGCTCCAGTTTGTGTTTCGGTCATTTACCAGTTATACTGCATTTAGTTAGTTATTGTTTCGAGTTTTGCTGTTATTGGTATTTTATCTAGTGATTAGAAGTATTATGACTTTGTTATATGAATAGAACACTAAGTGGTTCTTCATTTGTTAGTTGTGTTGTTTGGAATCTTCCTATACATACAAGTATCCTCGATTCTACACTAATTTTTCCTTGGCTCGTTCACTTTTGATATCGATGCACGTTATTCCTTTACGATTCGTTCTTCTGGTTCCATTTACTTTTCTACGAGTATTCAGTTATGCTTGGAGACATAACCTTGATCTGGTTCACCCAGTGTGATGGTTATTTGTGCATCTTGTAGTTGCCAAATTGTTGCATACGTAACATTAGTGTCATTGCTAATTGGATGAAGGATATGCATTGCATGAAGGATTGTAGGATCTCGCAGTCCGATCGAAACATCACGATCTCGATACGGTTTGCGTTTCGAGTAATGAATGCCAAATTGTTGCACGCATAACATTAGTGTCATTGCTAATTGGATGAAGGATATGCGTTTCATGAAGGATTGTAGGATCTTGCAGTCCGATCGAGACATCACGATCTCGATACGGTTTGCATTTTGAGTAATGAATTCCAAATTGTTGCATACATAGCATTGGTGTCATTGCTAATTGGATGAAGGATATGCGTTTCGTGAAGGATTATAGGATCTCGCAGTCCGATCGAAGCATCACGACTCGACACGGTTGCGTCTCCATTAATGCAATCGCAATAGATGTACTTGTTGCTATATGGTCTTTTAGTGTCTGTTCCGTCTTAAACAACCGTAAATTGTTACTGCCAAACGTTCTAAAGACAATAATTAACTCCAAGCATCTTGAATATCACAGAGAAGTTATTAAAGACCCATTAATCAACGAGAAATTTGTTATTTTTCTGTCTTTTGTCATTGTTCGAAGAATTAAAGGTTTTACGGGAAAATTTTAATCATCTAGGATCAAAATAAAATGAGAAACAAAGTTTCGAGCATAATTTTTTAAAAATTAAATTAATGGTTAAAAGAAAAATATAACAATAAATAATTGACCAAATAGATGAATTGTCTCGTTTTCAATTTTAAAATAAAAGGGGAATGGATAGTTTAAGTACTTATGATAGTAATAATAACTAATTGGAGAGTTGTAATTTTTTATGTATTTTAGTGTCTAAATTTTTTATTTTTCTAAAATCATACCTAACATGTAATCTTTATTTTATTTTAATATCTCACCGTTAAAAATTTAACACGTTTAGTATCTAGACTACCAATTTTTATCCGTTTTAGTACTTAAACTTTTAATTATTTAAAAAAAATAACATAAAATTTCAAACTGTGGTACTAAAAAAACTAAAATTTAGTATGATTTTGAAAAAAAATAAAAGTTTAGATATTAAAATAGATCAGACCTGATAGTTTAGATACTAATTGTGTAATTTACCCATTTTTAATTGGCTTTCGAGACCCACCATTAATGTCTGAATAGGAAATAATTAGGGAGATATTAGATGCAACTAACGCTGTTTTTAAAGTTTTCGAACAGGATTAAGAAACTGGATCGTAGGTCGAAGAATCTGTGATCTGTCACTGCCTAAAATCTTGTAACGATGAAATTTTTCAATCTCACAACCGAAGATTATGAAGTATTTTCCCACAGGAATGAAAGCTGAATTTTAAGTGACAACTAGAAAACTTTCCCCAAATGGAAGCTGACCTCGACTCGTTACTTGATTCACACCTTTCCGATTCCGACGACGATTCCAACTCCGTCGTCCCTCACCGCACCATCGATGACATCCTCAACGATTCTGATGCATCCACGTCATCCTCCTCGCCCTCATCCCCTCTCTCCACTCACCGCTCCTCCGATAACCGCCTTGCCCGGTCGAACAACGTTCCCCAAGAATTCGTTGAATCAATGAAGGAAAGCGACGCCCTTTCGGATGGACCAGCGGAATCGTCGAAGCTTAGCCCGTTCAAGCGGATTGGGGATCCAATTTGGAGGGTTCCGTCGACGTCTTCTTCTTCTTCGTCAAAACAGCTGCCGACTCTGTTCGGCGGAGTGAAATCCAATGCCAAACCAGGGGCTGCGCTCGCGGCTGCTGCTGCGGCTTCAAGGTCGGTTCCATCACCACATGCGGCTGCGATCAAGTCGAGGAGGGCGGTAAGCAGTGGGGTTCTCCAGAGGGTTGTAGATAGTGATGATCATGATGTAAGCTCATTGAATGGGGAGTCGGTTGGGGTTAGTTCGAAATCTAGCGTTTCAGGTGAAAAATTAGAAATTGATGAGTATAATTATGATAATAAAATGGGCGGTTTTCTTCAATCTGCTGATGCACATGAAGGTAACGAGGCTAGTATTAATAAAAATGAGGAATGTGAAACTGAGGGAGTAGTTCAACAAACTGATGGTTGTTCTAAGCTTGATTTTGATGAGAGCTTGAACAAAGAAGCTACAGTTTTTGGTTCGGATGAAGTTTTAGATAATAAAATTGACCCTGATTCTATGTATGAGAATTCTATTGTTCTTGATGCCGATGATTCATGTAAAAAGTGTATGTCTTTACCCGACCTTGATAAGGAGATAAATATAGTTAAGGACTCGGAGACGATAGATTTGGGGAGAGAGAACTTAGCAAGTGATATGCCCAGTCATAAAGATGGTGAGGAGCATGTTAGTGGTGGTGATGATGCAAGTTCAATTAGTGACATTTCAGAGCTTGTAGAGGAGAGATTGGAGCAACTGGAGATTGAGAGGATAAGTAAAAAAGCTGAGAACAATTCACGTTCTACAATGAAGCCACTTGAACTGGCTGAGGAGCTTGAGAAGAAACAGGCTTCTACTGGTTTGCACTGGGAGGAGGGTGCAGCTGCTCAACCAATGCGGCTTGAAGGTGTTAAGAGGGGTTCAACCACATTGGGATACTTTGATGTTGAGGCTAACAATACAATCACTCGGACTCTTTCATCACAAGCATTTAGGAGTGATCATGGCTCCCCTCTAGTTTTGGCAGTTCATCTGAACTTTATTGCTGTGGGAATGACTAAAGGAGTCATCATCTTAGTTCCTAGTAAATACTCCAATCATCATGCTGACAACATGGATTCTAAGGTGCCTCAGTTGTCCTAGCTCTTTATTTTTTAACCCTTGGTTTGCAATTCTGTGGAATGATTTGCCTTTTAAAGTCGCTTAACTCTGCCCTTCTGTTAAAGACTAATTTAAAGGTAGGACATTATTCTTCCGATAGGCGATAATGCATTCTAATTCAAATTTTAGTGTCAAAATTCTAGTTCGATGGACTGAAATTAGGAAGATTGGATCCTATCAGATCTTCTGAGTGCATTATGACCAAAAAAGGCATGATCCAGCAGCTAACTAGATATATTGAAGCAAATACTTGAAATCTGAGGCTTGTTAAGACACACCTGGACATATTTTACAGATCATGTATTTGTATCTGTTCGCTTGCATTCTATAGTTATCCTCGTTGTCTTTTCCTGCAATTGAGGTTGAGCTTTGAAGCTTCAACATGCATACACTTAACAAACTTTCTTGGATTTGAGTTCTGATTTGTTATTTATCTTTGTAAGTTAACTTTTCTGCTTTATGATGCTATCTGTATTCTAGATGGTGATACTTGGTTTGCAAGGGGATAGGTCCCTTTCCCCCGTAACATCCATGTGCTTCAATCAGCCAGGAGACCTTCTCTTAGCTGGTTACAGTGATGGTCACGTCACAGTATGGGATGTTCAGAGGGCATCAGCAACAAAAGTTATTAGTGGAGAACATAATGCTCCAGTGATACACACATTGTTTCTGGGGCAGGATTCTCAAGCTACTCGCCAGTTTAAAGCTGTTACAGGTGATAGTAAAGGCTTGGTGCTGTTACATGCTTTCTCAGTTGTTCCCTTGCTTAATAGGTTCTCAATCAAAACTCAGGTAAAGGGAAAATCAGTCTATATACTTCTTCCAAACTTATATTCGGTTGTCAACAATGTTATACTTGTCACGTTGACGATGTTCTATTATTGATTGAAATAGTGCCTTCTTGATGGACAAAGAACGAGCACTGTATTGTCAGCTTCTCCACTTCTTTTGATGGAGGCTCTTCTCTGGCTGAAGAAGGTGTGGTCATATTTGTCACGTATCAAAGTGCTCTGGTGGTATGAAGTCCAGATGATTGCCCAAATTTAATGTATCTTTTGTGTTGAGGATTAAATTTGCATTTTTCTGGACCTTTCATATTCACACTTTACTGAGGCCACCTTTTTTGGCCACCTATAGGTAAGGCTTACTCCAACATTAGAAGTTTATGCACAGCTTTCTAGGCCAGATGGTGTGCGGGAGGGTTCCATGCCATATACTGCATGGACATGTATGGTGCATCCTAGTGGTTCTTCATCAGGTATAGAGTGATTAAGGTTGTTAAGTTTAACGTTAACAGCTTTCTGAGAGATGACTATGCTGCAGAAAATACACCAACAGAAACACGAGAAAGAATTTCGCTTCTTGCACTTGCATGGGATCGGAAAGTTCAAGTTGCAAAGTTGGTTAAATCAGACCTAAAAGTATATGGGAGCTGGTCTCTTGACAGTTCGACCATTGCTTTGGCTTGGTTGGACGATCAGGTATGCTGATTTTGTTTAGCCACTTCGTCTTCTTCTGGATTTTGTTGTGAATTTAATTTGCATTCATAAAACAATTTTCTAATGGAAGCAATCATGCGTGTACAGATGATGGTGGTTCTTACAATGACAGGAAAACTCAACATGTTTTCTAGGGATGGAACCCTGATTCACCAAACAAGTTTTGCCGTAGATGGCTTGGGAGGAGATGATCTCATTACATATCATACTCACTTCTTTAATATATTGGAAACCCTGAAAAAGCTTATCATAATTGTGTAACTGTAAGAGGAGCATCTGTATATATTAGGACCTGCGCATCTTACTGTCTGCCGACTCCTTCCCTGGAAGGAACGGATTCAGGTTCTACGGAAAGCTGGTGACTGGATGGGAGCTTTGAACATGGCAATGACACTTTATGATGGGCAAGCCCATGGTGTTATTGACCTTCCTAGAAACCTGGATTCTGTGCAAGAGACCATAATGCCATATCTTGTAGAGTTACTTTTGTCATACGTAGATGAAGTGTTTTCCTATATTTCAGTGGCATTTGGTAATCAAATTGGTAAAATGGAGCAGCCAGATGACGGGGAAAGTAGAAATGGTTCTGTGCATTCAGAAATAAAAGAGCAATTCACACGTGTTGGTGGTGTTGCTGTTGAATTTTGTGTACATATCAGGAGAACCAACATTCTTTTTGATGAAATTTTCTCCAAATTCGTGGCTGTTCAGCAACGAGGTATTACACATGCAATAGAGATAAGTTAGAGTGGATTCTTATCAGTTACAGTAGTTTTGACCACTTTCTGAACATCATAAATACAAATAGTATTTTTTTATAACTCCTTGCTGAAAATTTTGAATCCAAATCTATCAGCAAAATATTACTCCCATCTTTTTGGGGAAGAAGTTAATGAAATATCATTTAATAGTTTTAATGGCAGAGCCAGAAAACTTTGGAAGATATTATGGGAATGATGCTTAGCTGCTTTCACTTGTTGCAGATACTATTTATCAGCTGTCTTAATATTTGAGTTATGAATGAGTTACATCCAGAATCAGCGACTCTTTTTCTCATGGTTGTTTGTTAACTGACATTTGAGTTTAGTGATATTCCTTCATAAAATTTGTATTATTCATAGTCTAGTAGCTCTATAGACGAGCTTAGTAATGTTTGAAATATGACAGTCTTGTTTGGAACTCATTACATGATATATATCTCTGAGTAATTTGTATTCTTATGTTCTAGATGCATTTTTAGAGCTTTTGGAGCCATACATATTGAAGGACATGCTTGGATGTTTGCCTCCTGAGGTACCATTTAATGTAAAACATGTAGATCTACTCTTCTCCTTATACTACCTTGTAATTATACTTTCGCTTTATTGCAAAGATAATGCAAGCACTGGTAGAGCATTACAGCAGCAAAGGATGGTTGCAGCGAGTTGAACAGTGTGTTCTCCACATGGACATTTCATCCTTGGACTTCAATCAGGTTATTATATGTATTCTACACGCCTTTTTCAGTTGTTTTCCTTTTTTTATCTCAGAATTTTCATTAATTTTCCTTGTTTCTGTTGTAGGTTGTCATCTTATGTCGGGAGCATGGTTTGTATGGTGCTCTGGTGTATCTTTTCAACAAAGGATTAGATGATTTCAGGGCACCTTTAGAGGAGTTGTTTGTAGTTTTACGAAATACTAAAAGAGAAAGTGCTTCTGGCCTTGGGTAAGTTAGTTGGATAGACGATTTAAGAGGGTGCATGATTATTTTATTTTTTATTTACTTGATGGGATTCAAGATGATAACTTGCCTAGTTGTATGATATCTGTATATTAATTAGCAGAAAGATGATAACCAGTCAATGTGAGCAGTCCAACCTCCGAAACATTTAAGTGTTTATACTCTCTACCTTAGCTGATTTTAGCAAGCTTGAGATAACTGTTTATTAATTAGCAGAAACTAACACGTTTAGGTGCACCACACCTGTTTTAATCACTTATACAATTTTTTTAGTGACATGTGGAGGTGAAATGATATGGATGTAGTGGTGCCTACCATTAGGTTTATTCAGATATATTGCTGTGCCTTGTTCAATTACCTAAATAAAGTGAGTCCCTTGTACAAGTTTTGGGGAATAACAAATTGCATTGTTCACTGTCTTTTCACTTTATTTAGATTAATAGTAAATTGGTAATTTTATAATATTGTGGTATTTTAAATTCATTACAATTTAGTTTTACTTAAACTTGATCATCTTATCAGGTACAGGATGCTTGTTTACTTGAAGTTCTGCTTTAAGGGTCTTGCTTTTCCACCAGGTATTAGTATTGTTTTATCTAATTACTGAAAAGATGGATTTGTTAATTCAGTAATTTCTCTTTTGAAAAAACTGTCTTCCCTGGCTATGTGGATCTAGAACTCGGTTGATCTATAGTATATTAATTGACCTGTAATTAATGTGGAATTTGTTAGTCTAGTTGCAGCTTTCTTCATTTACATACATTTGAAATGCTCCAATGCATTAATTTATTTGAAAATGACATCTTATATCTTGTATTCTAGAGATTTTGCATTTCTGAACTAGTACACGCTTGTATCTGACAATTTTTGAATGATTTCATGTTTAGTCCTCGATTTAGATATGGTTAAGGCTGATCATTTGCACAAAGTTATTCTAAGAAACATTTACACCATCGAATCTGTCAGTTAGCACTGAAGTATCACAATTTTCTATCTTCAGGCCAAGGTGCTCTTCCACCGTCACGCTTGTCGTCTTTGAGGACAGAACTTCTACAGTTTTTGTTAGAGGTCTCTGATGGCCAGGATAAAAAATCAGCTTCAACCTTGGCTTTTGAAGGGGCATACCTTAATCTGTTTTATCTCTTAGAGTTGGATACTGAGGCCACATTAGATGTTCTCAAATGTGCTTTCATAGAAGAGAAATCCCCTGAACTGGACTCCTCTTTTTCTGAATCTGGAGATGCAAATGTGGAAGCTAAAAAGGGGAAAGTTTTGATGACTGATTCTGAAATGGTGTTGGTTCAGAAAACCATCGATGCTCTGGTTAATGTTCTTGATAAGAATGTCCCTAGAACAGAGGGGTCTGCAAGTGACGATGACACCAAATCTATTGAAGCATGGCCTTCAGAAAAGGACAAGGGATATCTGTTTGAGTTTATTGCATGCTATGTTGCATGTGGAAGAGCTAAAATCCCAAAAACTGTTCTAAATCAGATTTTGGAATACTTGACTTCAGAAAATAATAGTTTGCGAAGTGTTCCTACCATGAGTACTGAAAGCTCCAAAAGAAGAGAGAAGCAATTACTGGCACTTTTGGAGGTTGTGCCAGAAACTGATTGGGATCAATCCTATGTGTTACAATTATGTGACAATGCATGCTTTTACCAGGTATCTTTGTGGCATTATTTCTTGAGTTCTTCACTGTAAGCATAATGCAAGGGTTTAGATTACATTCTTTAAGGTCTTCATTAAGCTTGTCTTGTTATGTTTAGGTTTGTGGCTTAATTCATACCTTCAGGCATCAGTATCTTGCTGCTCTTGATAGCTATATGAAAGATGTAGAAGAGCCAATTCATGCCTTTGTTTTTATCAACAATATGTTAATGCAACTGAGCAATGGGGATTATACAAATTTCAGATCGGCAGTCATCTCTCGAATTCCAGAGCTGATTAATTTAAGCAGGTTATAGTGGTTATGAATTCCAAAATTGTCGCAGTTCTTTTTTCTATCTTCAAAAGGATTGTTTCTGCTGTTGTACAAATTATTCTTCCCTTGTCAAACTTATGCTTTTATCAACTTTTGCAGAGAGGAGACATTCCTTTTAGTTGTTGACCATTTTAATGATGAAAGTTCACGTATTCTTTCTGAACTTAAGTCTCATCCAAAAAGCCTTTTCCTTCACTTAAAGACGACCATTGAGGTTCACTTATCAGGCACCCTCAATTTCTCTTATTTAAGGGAAGAGAAGATTGCAGATTTCTTGAGTGGAAAAAGGGGGAAAGATTCAGAAAAAGTCCTTGAAGCCTACTTGGAAAGAATGTCTAATTTCCCCAAGTTCCTGCGAAATAATCCTCCTCATGTAACTGATGATATGATTGAGCTTTATGTGGAGGTAAGTTCCTATTGACTGCATTGTTAATTTAATAGCATACAACTGCCAAACTCCCCTTGGTGTCCAGTAGAACTGCACAGCTTTAAGTTACATGTAGGCATTTGTTATTTGCCGTATCATTCAGTCTTCATTTGTTATCCTTATTTTTACGTTTTCAAGTTCAAGGTTAGTAATCAGAAATGAAAATTGCTTGCTTAGTTAAAATATTTGTTCTTATAATTTAGGTCGGCCTTCTCATGATCCTTCTCCCTGTTTTCCTCTTACAGTTATTATGTCAGTTTGAACGGGATTCAGTTCTCAAGTTCTTGGAAACTTTTGATAGCTATCGAGTTGAATACTGTCTCCGCCTGTGCCAGGAACACGGAATCATAGATGCTGCTGCATATTTATTAGAAAGGGTCGGTGATGTTGGTAGTGCTCTCTTGCTTACACTTTCTAGCCTTAACGATAAATTTGCAGAGCTTGATACTGCCATCGGAAGTACGGTCTCTAAGGGGTCTTTAGGTAGATCTGGTAGCATGGAGTATTTCAACTCTGTTTTGAAAATGGAGGAGGTTTGTACTGTGTATCTGTTTAGGAAATAGGGTTAAGATCTATTTATTTATTTTTTATGACTGAAGGCCTTGATGTTTTTTCTGGTCTTTATCGAACAGGTGAATGACATACGAACTTTATTGCAAGCTTGTATTGAATTGTGCCAACGGAATACCCCCCGTTTGAACCCAGAAGAATCTGAGATGCTTTGGTTTAGATTACTTGACTCGTAAGTCTCAACATAATCATAGATTTGCTTTTCCTCAAAATTTAAGCCTTATTCTCTCTGTGTTTTGATGTTCTGCTAAGTTCTGATAATATGAGTTGTGTAAAACTAATGATTTACTCTAGATAAACTAAAAATCCATAATTTATTTTCCCTTCCCCTTTTTTTAAATTTGAAACTCTTTATTTTTGGCACAAGACATTAAACATAGTAGATAGTTATAAGTTAAATGAAGATTTCATTATATGTGATATAATGAGTAAGTACATTTATGGTGAAATTTCCAGATGATTATAGAGCACATCTATGATAAAATACCTTCAAATAATAAAAGACTACATATGTTCTTACTGTCCTCTGAATTTCAATAGCAGATTTTGTGAACCTTTGATGGGTTCATACTGCAATGAAAGGGTAGCTGAGAAGGAAAATCATGAAGGACTGATTGAATCATTGGATTCTCAGGACGAAGAGGAATGCATAATCAAGTGGAGGATCCCAAAATCTCATAAAGGTGGTCATATATTGAAGAAATTGTTATCTCAGTTCATCAAAGAGATTGTTGAGGGAATGATAGGATATGTCCATCTTCCAACAATTATGTCAAAACTCCTATCTGATAATGGTGGCCAGGAATTTGGAGATTTTAAGCTTACCATATTGGGAATGCTGGGAACTTATGGCTTTGAAAGAAGAATTCTGGTATGTTCGTTATTCTGAATATAAAGATAATTTTATGTACTTTTAAGTGAATTTAATTGTAGCAGCTTCTTTATCATGTATCATTTTTCTTTAAATATCGGGAAAAAAAGAAAAGAAAAAAGAAGTCTGCTTAATAAGAAGCATGAGCCTGCCATTCACTTGCACCATATGCTCTAGTCTTGTAACAGGATAGTGCATTAGTAAAGTAAGTATTGTCTGATTATATTGCTTGCATATTTGTGAATTTCAATTTTGTAGATGCGGTACTCCTGACGTTTCCGTTTGATCGTTATAACCAACTTGGGAACATTTACCCAAAGGCCAGCCTCAATGCTTCAAATTTATTCTCGTAGCTGATGCTATAAATCTAGAATCGGGCAATTCTAAAGGAAACAAAAACCTTTATTCTATTTGCATGTTGTATATACTGCACCATATACATAATTAGGCAACAACAAGGCTTTATTTCTGAAATATCATTTGGATTTGGTTGCGACTTGGAATACTCTTCTTTCAGTAATAGTTCACAGTGAATAATTTTAATGTTAAAATCTTAGGTGAATTTTAGTGATTTTTCCTCTCTTTTTTATAAATTTCAGGATACTGCCAAATCTTTGATCGAGGATGACACATTTTACACCATGAGCCTACTGAAGAAGGGAGCTTCTCATGGATATGCCCCTCGAAATTTACTGTGCTGCATTTGCAACAGCCTTCTTACCAAGAATTCTTCTAGCCTCCGTGTCCGGGTTTTCAGCTGTGGTCACTCAACTCATCTTCAATGCGAGCTTCTGGAAAACGAGGCATCAACCAAGGGCTTGTCATATGGATGCCCTGTTTGTTTGCCCAGGAAGAATACTCAGAAATCTAGAAACAAATCTGCTCTTACAGAGAATGGTTTAGTTAGTTCGGCTCCCTCAAGACACCCACCTGCACAAGGATCAACATCACATCCTCACGAAAATGATGCTTTAGATAATTCTCATGGCCTTCAGCAGATATCTCGGGTAAAAAATCTATATCTCCCTATAAAATTTCATTGCTGCTTTACTCGGGTGCTGAATTAACTATACTGAATTTGGGATTTCGCAGTTTGAGATTTTAAATAATCTTCAAAAAGACCAGAGATTAGCTCAGATAGAAAATTTGCCTCAGTTGAGGCTTGCACCCCCTGCAATTTATCATGAAAAGGTGAAAAAAGGAAGTGGAGCTTTAGCAGGGGAAAGCAGCAGTCAAGTTGGTGCAATCCAAAAACCAAGTAAAAACAGGCAACTCAGGGAGCTAAAGTTAAAGGGACCATCTCTTAGATTCCCTCTAAAATCAAGTATATTTGGTACGTTCAGTTCAGATGTTACTAATGGTCTACCTATTAATCTCATCCCTCTACTTCACAGAAACCTGCACGTTAGTCTTTCTATTTCAATTTGTTCGAATTTGGCACCTTGCTCTAGGAAACCTATGAAGTTCAATTGTTGGTAAACACATGGAGTTGAACTACTGATTCATCTTGACAAATTAGAAAGACCAACCCCATCAGATTTAATGAAGTAGAGGGATGAAATTCAGAATTCGACCTACCATTAACTTGAATCTGTGGGATATTATCCACCTTGTTTTTAACCTATGGAAATTCTTTTTCAGGTAAGGAGAAAACAAGCAAACCATAGGAGAATTGGCTTGTAAACCATAATGTAGATTGAACTAACCTTAAAGCTTGTCCGATAGCCATTGAGAAAAAGAAAATAGTCCATGAGGATTTGAGGGTTTGATTTGCCGAATCCATGTTGGAATAAATATTGATTAGAAATTTTGATCACGGGATCCTCCTGCCCACTACTTGCTTTGGATACATAAAAGTGAATAACATATTAAAAGAAAACTGGTAAAAAGGCACAGAGGTCCTGTAAAGTTTAGTTTTTTATTTCATTTTAGTTTCTCATTGTTAAAAATTTTAGATTTTTTTTCATTTTAATACCCTTTCAAAATCTAATGTTAAGTTTTGAAAAAATTGAGAGTTTAAGTATGAAAATGGATTAAAATAGATAGTTTAGATTCTAAATGTATTTAATTTTTAATGGTGGGTATTAAAATAAAAAAAAATTAAATGTTGTACGTGATTTTGAAAGAAATAAAAGTTTTGATATTAAAATAGACTAAAATTTATAGTTTAAATACTAAATGCATAGTTTACCCTAAATAAAAATGGTTGAAGTTTGGTTTGGTTGGCTTTGGGTTTATTCCCACCTCATCAAATAAAGCCAACGCTCCCCACGACCATTCCAACGCCCTTTCCCTTGTTTCCTCCGCCCCTCCATCGCCCTTCCCCTCTTATATCTACCTCTCTCTTTCTCTTCCTTCTTCACTTCCCATTTTCTCTTCTTTTCCCATCCCATTGAGAAGAAAAAAAAGAAGGAAGAAAATGGCTACTGCTTTCTCAGCACCCAAGTTGGCTGCTCAACCTTTCAGCACCATTTCCCCAAGTTCTCAAGACAGACCTCTCAAAATCCCCTTCCTCGGATCCACCCGCAAACTCCGCTGCCTCGGTTCCTCCCGATTGAATCTCAGCCGTCGACCTTCTGGGCCCGTCGTCGCCGTCTCTGATGTCGTCAAGGCAAAGAAACCCACACAGAATCCCAGCTTGGTAACACTAGCAACCCCATTTTCGCTTAATGGGACTGTGTATTAGTTATATCTGTTTCACACCGAGTCCATGATTTTATTTTATTTTATTTTATTTTCAGTTGATTACGAAAGATGAAGGGTTGGAATTGTACGAAGATATGGTATTAGGAAGAGCATTTGAAGATATGTGCGCCCAAATGTACTACAGAGGCAAAATGTTTGGTTTCGTCCACCTTTACAACGGCCAAGAAGCTGTTTCCACTGGTTTCATTAAGCTCTTAAAGCAGCAAGATTCCGTCGTTAGTACTTATCGCGATCACGTGCACGCCTTGAGCAAAGGCGTTCCCTCCCGTGCCGTCATGAGTGAACTCTTCGGCAAGAGCACCGGATGCTGTCGCGGCCAAGGTGGGTCGATGCATATGTTCTCCAGTGAGCACAATTTGATTGGTGGGTTTGCTTTTATCGGTGAAGGGATCCCCGTTGCCACGGGCGCGGCCTTTAGCTCCAAGTATAGGAGGGAGGTTTTGAAAGAAGCTAATTGTGATCATGTCACATTGGCGTTTTTCGGGGATGGGACTTGTAACAATGGACAGTTCTATGAGTGTTTGAATATGGCGGCGTTGTGGAAATTGCCCATCGTGTTTGTTGTTGAGAACAATTTGTGGGCTATTGGGATGTCTCATTTGAGGGCTACTTCTGATCCTCAGATTTATAAGAAAGGACCAGCTTTCGGGATGCCCGGTGTTCATGTCGATGGAATGGATGTTTTGAAGGTGAGGGAAGTGGCTAAGGAGGCAATCGGCAGGGCTAGGAGAGGTGAAGGTCCTACACTGGTGGAATGTGAGACTTACAGGTTTAGAGGACATTCGTTGGCTGACCCCGATGAGCTTCGTGACCCGGGTAAGAATTTGATCATCTTTGCTTGCTTTTTATTGTTAGGGCTACTGTCACATTGATAAAACTTGAAGAACTTGATTGCACGTGTTTTGTACCAGGTTGCCTTAAAGTTGAAGTGATTATTTTGTTTTCTAAACTGTGTTCCAATTTGTTATGTTTGTACTTAAATTAAAGCATGGCGATTGTAGATGAATGATTCTTGAGGATTCGGGTTTCTCATGAAACATCGATGCTCCTAAAGTTAGATCTTTTAAGAGTTCACCACTGTTCTCTTTTTCAATTTCTCGGTTCTGTCTTTGGCAGCTGAGAAAGCTCACTATGCTGCAAGAGATCCCATCACTGCCCTGAAGAAGTACCTCATCGAGAACAACCTGGCTGGTGAAGCAGAGTTGAAGGCCATAGATAAGAAGATAGATGAGTTGTTAGAGGATGCTGTTGAGTTCGCTGAAGAAAGCCCCCTTCCTCCTCGGAGCCAGCTGCTTGAAAACGTTTTTGCGGATCCAAAAGGTTTTGGAATCGGCCCTGACGGCCGGTATAGATGTGAGGACCCGAAGTTCACAGAAGGCACTGCTCATGTCTAAGCTTTCAAAGCAGAAAGGTAATCAAACTATTGATGCTCACTATACATGGTCACATATACTTGGTTTGTGCTGGAGGTCTCTTTCTCACTTCAATTTAGTGCTCATTGTGTACCAATTATGACATAATAATGAATAATAGAATCCATACGTTCTAGCCATTTTCCTTTGCTACACCAAGAATAAACTAGGCACAATCGCCAATTGGATATAGGTTGTCATGGTTAAAAATTAGGGTAAATAATAAATTTGGTCCTCTTGTTTAAATTTTGTTCAGTTTTGATAATTGATTATAAGCTTTTTCTAATCTTCTTCTCCTTACATAAACTATTCAACAAAGTGGTATGACGGATGGAATCAGGTACAATTTCATGATTAACCCCTTTATAAATTAGGGTAAATTACGTGTTTAGTATCTAAACTATAAATTTTGGTCCGTTTTAGTACCTAAACTTTTAATTTTTCAAATTATTCTAGTACATCGTCACTAAAGACTTAACGGTATTACATTTTTATGCATAAATTAAATCATTCATCACTCCTATTTTGATACTAAAGTTTAAAAAAATTTAATTTCACTACTCAACTTTCAAATTGTTCATATTTTAATTACTCTAATTTATTTTATTAATAATTTTTGTGATATGAATTTATTATTATTATTATTTTATTAATATATAATAAAAATAAAAAGATTAAATTTGAACGTTAGAGAGATTAAACTAGGAGTAATTTAAAAGGTAAATAATTAAATTTAAAAAAAATAAATGATCAAAATATGAGTGAGAAGATAGTTGAGTGATGAATGATATAATTTATCTATAAAAAAAGGGAGTCACATGCAATTCACCCTTTAAGTTTTTAGTGATGAGATATTAAAATGAAATAAAATCTAAGCATTAGGTATATTTTGAAGAAGAAAAAAAAGTCTAAGTACTGAAATAAATTAAAACTAATAATTTAAGTGCTAAATATGTTATTTATCCTATAAATTAATATTTGGATTCAAACTTTTTTAGCCTATTTTAAATTGATAAAATTATATTTTTAAACCTATTAAATTATAATAGTTCTATTTAATTCATTTTGATACAAAATATTCAACTTTAACCCCTCAAAAATATTATATTTATATGTTAACCCAGACAAAATTTCTCAACCTCCCCATTGTATATATAAACAAAATCCGACAATTTCTCAACTTCTCCGTTGTATATATATGAACAAAATGGAACTTGTAATGAAAAGGACATCCAAGGGACAGTGGGACACCAACGTGTCCCATACAACTTCGAAACCATACAAATAATTTTTCAAACTTTACAATTTGTGTAAATTTTTATATATTAGATTAATTTTTTTCTTTGATTTTGTTTAGTCGGTAACGACAGTGATTTTGATGTTGGTTGTCAATCGTAAGTTGTCTTTTTTTTTGTTTTTTAGTTTTAATAAGAATAATTATGTCTTTGTGACATGTTTATTAATGCCCTTGTGACATATTTTTCTCTACTTTTTTGATAGTTTTTAATCGTTTGACCGTTATTTTCGTTTTTTTCCTCAATGTTTGACTTGATATCGACACGATTGATCAAGATGAAACTTATTTGTTATCATGTTGATCTTGTCTTCTTTAGATCCTCGATTGATTTGAATACTCGTTTTGCGTTCGTGGATAATTTTCTCACACTGTTTAACTCTAATTTATGATTTGTCGATGATCTTTCAATAGATTCATCCCTTTTGTGGTTTATTTGTCAATGCAGTCATATTTGTTCGTATCTTTATTTTGTTCGAGCGTTGGTTAGTTTATAACATTTTCCTTCTTTGGTCCATGTCTGATCTAGGTAGTTAGTTTTTATGTCAACAGATACAAGAAAATATCGTAATTATAATTTAGTTTACATTCACGCTCGTAAATCTTCATTGTAATTCTATATATTTTTATTTTTTATAAAACTAGCAATTTTCTATTAAAAAACACTTTTTTTTCCAATAGAAGACAATTCATTGGAAAGCGACAAATAATATATTTATCTACCAAAGATATTCAATGAGCGGTCCATAACTTTTGTCATGTTCACTATTTCATCCAAAACACCCTTCAACATAATTTTCCCTTTTCTTCGGCTTATTATATAATCCACAGTTAGTTGTTGGCTCCACATGGATGGATAGTATTTAAGGACCCAGTTATCTTTATGACTGTCCCAATGCATGCCACGTGTCCAAAATGAACCACGAATCATTGACCACGTGCTCTCGTCGTTGTTTTTAATTCCTTTTAAAGAAAATAGAGAACGGTGCTTTGCCCCTCGTAAAAACGATTGGATATGAGAGGACGGGAGGGATTGAATTTTTTACTAAAATATAAATATAAATTTTGATTTTATTTTTTAATTTCTTTAAAAAATTAAATTCAAATTAACTTAAATTGATTATGAAAATATTTGATCCGATTACATTTAAAAATAATAATATAAATAATTTTCATATATTTAAAAATAATTATTAAAAAAATTAATACTAAAATAAGTGTTCAAACTATATTTTTTTTAAATAAATATCTAAACTATTTTTTGATTCATCCTGATACCTAACGTTATAAATATTATCATTTTAGTTATCCGAACTGTCAACGACGTTAACTTTATCATTAAATGACCAGATTTTTAGAATTTTAAATTTTTTATATTTTATTAAAAATAAAAAAAAAATTATTAAAAAACCTTTCCCTCTGTTGTCCCCTCTTTTCCCGCGCATGCTCCCCTTCCTCTCTTTGCTCCCTTCTTCCATGGAAAAAGCTCAAATGATCAAATTTAAGGGATTGAGTATGAGATTTTAGGGATTACATATTAAAATTTAGAGATTTAAGAATTTTGAGTTTTGAGACAATGGTAAGGACTGGGACCGGTCATTGGGTGATTGACTACGTATGGGTGGCCAACTGCCGAAGAATGGATGGTCGGAGATGACAGACGGTTAGAGTAAATGAGACTAAAATAAGATATTTTAAAATTTTGGGGATTTTTTATATTTTAGAAAAAATTGGAGTTTTTTTGAAAATAAAATATTTTTATTTTTTTTCTTCAGAAAAACAAATTTCAAAAATTATCAATTATGGCACGTGTCACTTAACGGAGGAAATTAATGTCGTTAACAACCCGGGCACTAATATGGTATCGTTTGTAACGTTAGGTATCAGGATGAGTCAAAAAATAGTTTAAGCACTTATTTAAGAAAAACGGTATAATTTCAGTCATTATTTTGGTATTAAACCTTATTAAAATACTATTCTCATTCTATTTCTAATTAAATCTTTATTTTATCTAACAAAATAAAGACAAAAAGGCGTATGGAATTCCTATACCTTTTAAAAAATCAATATGATCCTCATATTATTTTTTCTTTCAATGTGTCCCTCCAACTCCGAAAATAAGTCCAATGTGACTGTTTGACCAACGTTTTAATCATTGATCGTTACAATACTAACGTGGCAATTTACATTCAAATGACAAAAAATATTGGTCAAAGGGTCACATTAAGTTTTTTTTTTTTGAGTTGGAGAGTCACATTGAGAAAAAAAATAATATGAGGGTCATATTGGTTCTTTTTTGAAAATACAGGGACTTTTTATGCATTTTCACCTAAAATAAGTAAGTAAATCTAAAAAACCAACATAAACTGCAGATTCTCATAACATCCACGTGTCGCATGGTCAACCATAGTTCTCCAAGCATGTTCAGAGGATGCCAACGTGGCAGTAGGCTCGAACATCCCACGTCCGCCAAACACGTGTCCCTTTCCCTCTCCCGGCGGCCCCCACCTACAATCACCACCCTCACCCGCGAAAAAAAAGGAAAGAAAATCATTAACAATGGCCCGTGTTCCGCCACGTCATCATCGGTAACCACCAGCCAATGGCGGCCCACCTTTCGGTCTGTCCGACTCTTCCCTTCCCTCCTCCAATCCCAGCTTTCTTATTTTTTTTTCTTATAATAAGAAACCACAAAGTCTCGGCTTGCTTCTTTGTTTCGTCATTCAAGAAAGAGGGAATAAGATATTTTACGCGGTTTTCGCGGTCATAAACGAAAGTTGGATTTCAAAGAAAACATTTAAGAATTCTTCATGCTTTTATGACGACGAGGTTAATTCCATAATTTCACTGCGACGCCAAACATTTCCTTTCTTTTACCCCTTCAGCTGACTGCTCTTTATTTTACTCTTTTTAACTGAGAATTTGGGGTTCTCTGTTATGATGTGTTGACGAGCAGGGCGTTTGAGAATGGGTGAAGCCGCGATGGAAGTAAGCGTGGAGGTCGGAGCGGCGGAGGAGAGTAAGAATGATAAGAAGAAGAAGAAGAACGGGGGAAAAATGGATCATCAGAGGTTGTTCAGTGGGAAAAGTTCTTACCTCGGATGGTTCTCAGAGTTCTTTTAGTTGAAGCTGATGATTCCACTCGTCAGCTCATCGCCGCTCTTCTTCGAAAATGCAGTTACAGAGGTTTCAATTTCTCCTTTCCCATGTCGTTTAGTTTCTCTAATCTATCGATTATAAGTATTAGTTTGATTTCCCTTGTTTTTATACAGTAGTCGCGGCTGTTCCTGATGGTTTAATGGCATGGGAGACTTTAAAGGATCGACAGCACAATATTGATCTAATATTGACTGAAGTCGAGTTGCCTTCGATATCCGGATTCGCGCTTCTTACATTGATCATGGAGCATGATATCTGCAAAAACATTCCTGTTATAAGTATGCGATCTCAACTTAACAGCTTGTTGTTGCTTTCAGATGTGAAGCTAATATGTTAAGATTTTAGTTTCCCTTTTTTGGATGATTAAACAGTGATGTCCTCTCAAGATTCAATTACCACGGTTTTGAAGAGCATGTTAAAAGGTGCAGCTGACTTTCTGATCAAACCTGTTCGGAGGAATGAATTGAGAAACCTCTGGCAGCATGTTTGGAGAAGACACATGGTATGCAGTGCTATGCTCGACGTTCGCTCTGTTTTACTTGGCTGAAATCAAGCATTTAACTTGGTATTTGCTTTACTTTCTTTCAGCTAGCCGGTGGTGGTGTCCCTCTTAAGCTACCTGTTACAGAAAATAATGTCGAACCCAATGCCGAGAGTGAGAGCGGCCAATTCAGTGATTATGG